ACAATCTTCTCATTTTACATACCAATCCCAGATCCCACTTCCTCCCCTTAAAATAATTTTTATAACCCAGTGCAGGCTCTATAAATTGCTGTGTTAATTGGCCTAAGTAGCTTGCCAGCATCACTAGGAAGCATATGGGAAACAGCCTGGTTCATTGTGGAGTCACTGTGTGCTTGGAGTCCTGGCCCACCTGTGGAGGGCGCCTGTGTTGCATTTAGTCCCCTTGCTTTTATAAGTTGTGGGAGAATTCTGAAGAGCTGTCATTCTGATGGGTGAGGCTTTGTGGAGAATGAGGTATGCAGCTCTTAGGGTTTTAAGGAAGCTGTTTATAGCTCAGAGTTACCAGGACTTGTCCAAGACAAAAAAATGCTTAGTGCTGTTAGTGTTGCAGGGAGTGTGAACAGGGCCTTGTGTGGATGTAAGGGCTTCACACGCCATTAGATGTAAAGGGTATGTTTGGTTTACCATCTGCGGTTCACCTCAGTGGATAGTCTAGAAGAGCGGAGCCAGTGAAGGTCGGAACCAGGGTGGATCCCCTGCTTTTGACCTTGTACCGGCTAGACCTGCCTCACACTTGAGCCACGTTCTGCTCAGGCTCAACAGCACTCATTGGATCAAAGGCCCTAGCATGTCCTCACCTCATTGTTTATTGAAGAGATGGTCTATGGAAGGCTCACCTTACGGTCCTTTCTGTAGAGCTTCAAGGCAGGGTGTCCAATAGAAGCTGGCTGACCTCTACCATACCAGATGTCCAGCTGAGAGCAAGCTTGCAGTCGAGGAGAGGGAGGCTGGTGTCAGTTTAACTGGCATGGTAGAAATGAAGATATCTAGAGAGACACTTGAATGTGTCTCAGTCTGACTTCAGATTATTGAAACAGTAGACTCAGTCGTGGGGATTTCCCCAGGAATCTTGTGCTGTCAGAGGGGGAGCTTGTCTCCTAGGAAGAGATTCCACAGTGTTGTAACGTGTTATCACCACCTTAGAGGATAAGACTTCATCTTGTCGGGGCTTATGTACACAGCCTTAACCCTCTATTTAACCTTCAGTTTCACCTTAGGACCCCAGAGATGGACTTGAGGGGTTTGCTGCATGTCTTTAACTCTCTTCCCCATGTGATCACATCGAGTAGTCCTCCTTTTTCTGCTTGCCACTATTAAATTGGCTCGTTTTATTGACTTATTGATGACTGACTCAACATAACTTGCTACCCCCATATCTGATAACATCTGTGTGTACTACAGAGTCTTTAATGATGGTTCCCACCAAGGACAACACTATTGAAAATACACATGTGTGGGCTAGAGAGATGGCTCAGAGGTTAAGAGCACACTGACTATTCTTCCAGAGGTCTTGTTCAATTCCCAGCAACCACATGGTGGCTCACAACCTTCTATAATGGGATCTGATGCCCTCTTCTGGCATTCAGGTGTACATGCAGATAGAGTATCTTTTTTAAAAATTAAAAAAAGAAAATAACACACATTATCTGAATCAGTTTTGTGTGCCTGATAGCACCTAACGTGGTGATGTGTAAATGGTCCCCACTTAATGACTGCTGAAGTCAGCTTTAAAAGTGAGGTGTATTTATACACAGACTAACCCTCCCCACGGCCATGTGTGCGGTTAAAGCAGAGTTGCTTACACTAGGTGGCAGATAGCTGCTAGATACCCAGGTGAATGTCTCATCACCCTTCCTAACTCTCCACGAGGGGGTGGGGAGTGCAGTCAAGAAACCCAGCTGGGGGGGCTGGAGAGATGGCTCAGAGGTTAAGAGCATTGCCTGCTCTTCCAAAGGTTCTGAGTTCAATTCCCAGCAACCACATGGTGGCTCACAACCATCTGTAATGGGGTCTGGTGCCCTCTTCTGGCCTGCAGGCATACACACAAACAGA